ATATTGGGCTTTCATAAAGGTAGCATGCGCTATGCAAAATTTGAGCTCAGGACGTTGGCTGGAAACTGCTTTACGAATTTCGTAACAGACACACTCTCACACACACACAAAAACACGTAAATACCCTTAGCCCGTTATTATAAGTTATGATTTTTAACATTCGCGACGTTGTCAGTGCTTTTGGTCGTGCAATGAGGATCACAACATATATAATATTGAGGGTTTCGTTAAGACCCCGCCGAGATTTACGGGCAGAGCCAAATGCCCCGTCGGCTCTGGTTTGTCTCCGCTGCTCTCTGCGTCTCCGCGCTTTGCGTGTTGCCTCGCTACCTCAACGCGGGGCACGAGGCACCCTTTTTGGTACCCTTTTCTTCGTTGTTTTCAATTTAATCCTAAACTGTATATCATATTGAATCTCTTGATATCTACTTTCACGCTGGCAACGTTGCAGAACTCTATTTTCTGACTTAAAGGAGAAATCTGGCAAATACCGTATTTTCAAAAATCCCTTGTTTTTTTTTTCAATTCAACTCTTTTCAAACGGCTTTTTTGTGCATTCCATAGACCCTGCTTCCGTTCATGACGTAGAAACCGCGTGCAGGCTAATTTCTTTGATTATGATGAAATTTTTAGCACAAAGCTGCAAGAAGTGCGTTTTGTTCATAGGCCTTTACTGGAGTTAGTAACTAAACAATTCTTACATGCTTGGGGCCATTTCGCTCAGGATTATGAGCGCAACAAAGCTAACAACGTTGCCAGCATGAGAAACTCCGAGAAATGGCTAAAAATTCAATGGACGCATCAAAAACTGGGCTGTCCTTGACGTGCATTTTGATAGGAAATAACGAAACTTTACGCTTTTATAACTGATTGTTTCTCGTTTATTTTCTTCTTGATAATCACCACTGCCAAAATATGTTTCTTTTAAACAATCACAAAGAAGAAGCTAGCTTTTCCCCGGTTTCCCCGTGCTGTGAATTGCCTAATCCAGTAGCGAAAACCTGCAATTTGAAACGCCGCCAAACGAAAGTTCCAAACTAATTGCGGCGTTTCATTAATTTTTCAAGAGCTTCTTCTGCTTTCGCTAATTATTAGGTTGTAACACAAGTGCTGAAATACTCTCACGTCTTCGGCGATAAGTCTTAAACTTCAGAATTTCAATAGTGGCCCAGGATACCATTCGATAGAGCAAAGCAAGCTCTACAAGATGGTTGCAAAAGTTCGCACCAAATTCGACTCACTGTAAGTTAGCATCCAAAATCTGACCGCACTGAAGGCTCTAAAAATCGCTAAAAGTTCATATCTTTGTTCAATACCTACAATCTCCAAGCTGCTCATAAAGATTGCGCTACATCAGACACTCATATGTTCGTTCTTGAATGTCTTCCTCATTTAGAAATTAAGAGAACGGAAATTTTCATGTTTATACAAAAACAAAGTTATGCTGTTTTCACTCATGTAATTGTATACTACAAGCTCTTGAAAGAACCGTAGATTTCCAGCTTTCTACAAGCCTTAGTTTTCGAGAAGTATTGATTTTAGCATAGAACTCCCGAGTGAGGAGAGCTGAATTCGCTAATTTTCGAAAACTGGGGTTTGTGGAGCACTGAAAATCTACGGTTATACTTGCAAGGGCTTGTAGTTTACAACTGCATGAGTGTAAACAGCATAGCTCCGTTTTTGTATAAACATGGAAATTTTCGTTTTTTTAATTTCTAAATGAGGAAGAAATCCAGAAACGGCACATATAAGTGTCTGATGTAGTTCGTAATCTTTATGAGCAGCGTGAAGATTGTAGGATTATTTTGAACAAAGATATGAATTTTTCGCGATTTTTTGAGCCTTCAGTGCGACTCAGATTTTAGATGCTAACTTACAGTGGGTCGAATTTGATGCGGGCTTTTGCACATCTTCTTGTAGAGATTGCTTTGCTCTATCAAATGGTATCTTAGGCTGCTATTGAAAATGTGAACTGTATAATTTAACGCCGTAAAAAGAAGTGATAGTGTCCCAAGACTTATGTTACAACCTAATATTTTGCATCTTCTTCTTTTCTTTATTTCTCTATAAGCAGCTTCCACCTTTTATGGAAGGCAGATACTCAAACAACCTTCACTTTTGACGCGCTATTTCTAGACTATCGAAGGTATGGGTATACCTTTTATCTGCCTATAGATGAGCCACCAAATGGTAAATAGGTAGTCTCTAATACATAATCTACCACATAAATTATATCTTCAACTTGATAATAATTGCCTCGTGTCATGTCTGAGCTAGTATATGAAACTTTGTTACCGTGAATCTTTATGTGTTTACAACCTCTCATACATAGGCTTATAAGTTTCCTAAGGTTCGTTCTCGCGACATCATGCAGCAAGTTAGTGAAAAGGTTATAGAAATCGGCTGAATACATTTCAAGGCTGCAATGAGCTGTAGTCAGTCCCTCAGCCCCTGACTACTATTTTCTGCAGCCCAAAAATGGTTTATACTTGTTCTTTGCAAATTACTTTGCAATAATTGTAAAAATGCCTTCGTATATGGGCAAGTATCAGTTGTAGTATCTTAGTCAGGGGCTTCAACATACTTCCTTTGGCACCAGTAATGAATCTGAATTTAATAGGTATTTTGTGCATTTTTGGAATGCCGTAAATTTCAGAAATTACATCACATTCGCCTACAGACTTGATGTTTAAACTATTAAGAACTCTTTTAGTTTCAACGACATCGTTTTCACTTAGTCTAGTTGATATATTAGTATGTCCACCCGACTGCTCCATTTCCTTCTTCATCATATGTAAGTACATGATAAATTTTCGTCACTTTCTCAGAACCTTTTGCACCTTTTGCATATTCGTCACATTCGATCTGTTCTGGATCATGCATAGTGTACAATTTTGTTTCAACCTTCTTCTTGATTTACTCCCCTATCTCATTTGTAAGTTGAGCTCTGACTGAAGAGTTAGCCTTGTATTTTCGAACGTATTTGTGTGCTAGCTATGTAGACTCGAACTATTTATCACTTCTACAACTTCGCCCTTAGTTTGCTGTATATGTTCTATACTTCGTTCCTTTTTTGGAAACAGATTTTAGTTTTTCGTTTTGTATGAAGTCCAGATTTTTTGTATAACATGCTTGTGGCAATTATCAACAGAATCGTTGTAGTTTCCACACTCACATTCTTGTTCTTCTATAAGCTTCATGGTAGTATCATTAGGTCTTTTGAGAAAGCCATTATGACTGAGCGTATCCAGACCCACTGGTTTTTCAAATTGTATTTTATAATACCTTTATATTATTTAATTCATCTGCTTCTTGCATATATTATTTATAGCTATCCTCTTCATTCTTGTACCGTTGCATAATTTATAAAGTTCGAATTTATCTAAAATGTCACTGGGATAGGGTATGGTTACCATTATTTCATCCTTTTTACTCCTAATTCATCTCTTCTTTCTAAAAATGTTTAGCAAGTAATGTATATACCTTATATCAATGTTCAAACGATGATATTGCGAACTGGGACTGAATGTGTAGTCTCTCTGCCTTGAAATATCTTGTTTATTAAGTGTTCAGATATACGCAAAAAGTCCGTTGCCTTGTAAAGTATATTTAGTAGCTAGAACTTTCTCATTTCTTTTGAACATTTATTTCTTTTAAGGTCTTCTATTTTTCCTCCATATCTTTTGTTGATAACTGAGCCTCTAAAATAGGATGTTCTTTCAAGATACATATTACCAAATTCTTTAATCTGATCATTGAAACCAAATGGGTACGCAGTAAGCATGTACTGTATCCAATGTAATTCTTTATCTCTCAGGCCCCGGACAGACTTCACGCGACTTAATCGTCGCGATCTAATCGCCAAGATTTCCATTCATTTTCATTTCACTTTCAAAAATTTCGGGTTGGAAAAGTATTACAACCGAATGCAAGTTGATCGGCATGGAATGATGTCGTAACAGCTGTCTCGTCGCGATTAAGTCGCGAACCAAATCGCGTGAAGTCTACCCGGGGTCTCAGATAGTTCTTGGCATTCTCTTCTATCAACGTAATCTAGAATGTCTATGCTTATGTTCTCGGGATCGTGCCCTATACCTTGAGAATGTTTAACCATGAATGTGTTCAAGTTAACTTTTCGAAAACTATTTCTCTGCTGATTAATTCTGGATCTCAATGACTTTTTGGTTTCTGTACGTATGTTCCGAATATAAAAATCCATTTTTGAACCAATCAAGACCAAACTTTGCACACATACCAGGGCGGGACGGGTGTCGATGGCCAGTTTTCGTTATCGATCGGGATCGATTTTATTGATTTTTACTTTCCTGCAAAGTTCAACCTCGGGGCTGGGAGTTGAAGGAGGGTAAGTGAGCATGTTGATTACGGATACATTATTAATTTTGTTATCGGTTTTATCGATTTTATCGACTAACTATGCGCTACGGGGCTGAAAGGGCACATGAGGATAAGTGAGCATGCTGACTGCGAATATATTATTGGCTTTCAGAATAGTCTATTACTTTTATCGATTTCATCGATTTTTTGCAAAGGTGCTACGGAACTGGGTGATGACAAGGGATAAGTGGGCATGCTCGTGACGAAAAACGGGTATAGAGAACTGACATGTGGAAGTGGGTACAGGGAAAGGTTATACGTAATAGGGATGAGATCTCTATCATAGTGTTTTGACAGGGCCGCGTGGAGCCGGGTATGCCAGCTGGTATACTTATTAGAGAAGGATGAAAACTTGATAACAAGAAAAAATACTAGTTTCTGCGTCGTTTCTGCTTACTATACGAAAAAACATAGCAATGAGATTTTCCAAAGCGTTTATGCTGGGAGAAGAGGCGCCAAATTTCGGCGCTGAAAAAGCAGTGCATGCTCGAACATACAGGTACATATCAAGGCATATAAGTCAATTTTTTGTGAATTTAGATTACTTGAGCAAGTACAAATAGAGCTTTTTGTAATTTGCAGCTAGTCACTATATTTCGAATCTTTATTTTTTATCTGCGTATAAACAAAGCTTTTTTGAATCACGAAGTTATTATGCACACGCATCACATTAATTCGAAATGAGCTCATCATAAATTCATACGAATACTGGACATCCGTCGTACATTCGGTTTCCACAATCCATCCGACTTTTCTAAATCTCCGGTTTGACCGAATGGTCGTGACGAGTCTATCCGAGAAAAACGATAGTTAGGTGGATTATCTCCTCCACGGAGGTCTCTGCAAAAAATATTTAGAAGCATTGGAGGTGTAATTACTAGAGTTTCTAGGAGCTGCTGTCGAAGCTCAATTTGCACCTTTTCATATCAGCTAACGGTCAAGTTTTCTTAGGAGAAGGGGGGGGGGAGAATCGGGGGAAGTTTAAAAATCAAAATATAGTTGAAAAGTTTCTAAATAAAGCGAGGCATTGACCGCTTCAACTAAAGGTTTTCCTGGTGTACCACTTAAATATGAAGTTGTAATAACCAAGAGGCATGGCGCGAGACATTTTCACGCTCTATTCATAGTCTTCAAAGTTATTCAAGTCTTCTATAAATGAAAAATCACTCAATAATTTTTATACTTCGTGAAGAATTTTTACGAAAAGCTCAACCCACTTCCTGGTAAAAGAAAAGGGGATAGAGGTGGCTTTGCCAAAAACCTCTATGATCAACTTCTATACGAAAAATTTCTTATCAGGATACTTAATTTATAGACAAGAATAATTCCAAAGATGGCAATAGTCAAAGTGCTGCTAAAATTTGGCAATCCTATCGGTTCTGTGGAAGTTCCAGCTAATCTTATCCTTTGATTCCACCATTTTTTTCTTCATCTTGAATTGTTGATAAAATTTTGGTATCTCATGATTCTTGCAGACTTGTGTAACTTTATTAGAAGTACTGCGGAAATATGGCAAATCCTATATGTTCTGCGGAAGTTCCGGCTAATCAGCATCCTTTTTTTGACCAGCTATTTTTCAGCTCATTTGATAAAATTTGAATTTTTATGATTCCAGTACATACTCTCTTGCAATTGTGCAACTCTATTAGAAGTACTGCGGAAATTTGGCAAGCCCTGTTGGTCTTGCGGAAGTTCTGCTAGTAAGCATTCTACTGGTGGAAAAAAGTGAGGATCAATCTTCAACTTTTCTAGTCTGATTTTTTGGGTATTTGCAAAAAAAATTTTTTTTGGGGTACTCCTACTCACTTTTTTTCTAAAGAATCTATCATCCATCCATTTTATCATCCATTTTTTGAAGAATTTTCTCAAGGAGTTGTGCTGAAAAAAAAGCTGCTAGAATTAAAAAAGATAAAACTAGCCGGAACTTCCGCAAAACAGATAGGGTTGCCAAATTTTCTCTGCACTTTGACTATTGCCATCTTTGGAATTATTCTTGTCTATGGTCAAATTACGTATCTTAATAATTTCATACTCACTTAGAGACAATATTTCCTAAGTTTTCCAAACTCCTCGACTTTTCTCCTCTCAACATCGTGTCGCCAAACATTCGAAATGGCGGATTAGTACGTTTATTTGTAAAAGCCGACGGCGGACTGTCACGGAGATCTATCGACTGGAACGAGTTCTGCAAGAAACAAAGTTGAAATCCACCTGATCCATAGCTGAAGCCGACAAAAAGTGAAACGCTTGGAATTACAAGCCACGTACCCGCATTACTCGTATTTCGCTGTTGCTGAGCTTCGTCTTCAGTTCGTCGACAACTCGTTTCGGCATATTCTGCCGATTTCTGTCGACTGACTTAGGTTTGGAGGACGAGTTTTCACCGGGGAAAATCCTCGTATGACTATCACGTATGAATGGATGCATGAAGTCATCGGACACGGCTCGTGTCATACCGTTCCTTGTATGAGACGCTGATCGGGTCTGCATTTTTGACCTGTAAATAGTTGTTGTTTAGTATAATAAATAATTTTTTTGGAAGAGGGACGGAAAAGCCAATAAAGGGCGTGGAAAAGGAAAAACTGAAGAGTGATATGACAGACTCCACTCATCCGTTTAGTGTACTGCTTCTATCGAAAAAAGTATGAAGTAACTCTTGAGGGGGAGGGGCGTGGCAAGTGGAAGAAATTATCCAAAAAGGGGCGTAGCAGAGATTAAACAAACAAAGGGTGTAGCAGGAACTCCGACAAATAACGGGAACTTCCCGAGACAAACTAATTGGCGAAAAATTTTCCCGAGAGGTTGATTTAGTACTGATTTGAAAGAAGGCAAAAATGGGAATCTCCCGTAAAAAAATAACGTCGACAGCAATAAAGTTAGGAACTTCCCGAAAATCCTCTAGGGAACTTCCCTTAAATCAGTGATATTTGTTCTTTCCCTTCATGAGTTTGATCACGTTGATGAGGTAGCATCCAAAGGAAATAGCAGAAAATACTCTTACAATAGTGTACAGGCCAGTAAATAAATCTTTCGGAAGCTCCCAGCGCGAGGGAACTTCCCGAAAGCTTTATTTAGAGAACTTCCCGAAGACGATAGCGGTACTTCCGCAGGTGATCCTCTGGAGATTCCGCCAAAGTCTTCGGGAAGTTCCCGTGATGTCTGAGTAGGTCACCCCATCCGTTCAGCGCAGTTTCTCGGAATAACTCAAAAAGAGGCGTGGCAGAGGACGAAAAGAACCAAAAAGGGACATGGCGGGTTCCGAGTTTTTCATCATAATGATTACCCTATTTTCAGGTGTATAAGCTGCACCCTTTTCGCTCTAAAGGCGAACACGCCAAAAGACTGACTGTCATCATGGAGCGCGTTAAGAGAGAGCAGTATGCAATAAGGCGACTGCTTCGCGAGACATATGCGCGGCGGCACGCCTGGGTCTGCTCGCGTTTAGAGCAAAAAGGGTGCAGCTTATACACCTGATAGGGTAATAATTTCCGGCGATACCCAACACTCCCCTCCTTGTTCCTTCTCATTCCCCCCCCCATCTCCTAGCTTACTGCAGCAAAGGCCTTACCGTGGTACAAGTAGTCCAGCGAGGAATAAACGTTGCTCAAGATCCATTATTGAGCGTTGGATTTCTGGGCGAGATATCAGGAGCTGAAAACTTACCATATTTACAAAAAGACAAATAGATTATTGTGTTTGTTCTGGTTAGTCGTTTGACAGTTTAACGTTGATGAGGTTTTTAAGTGAAATTTTGAACAAGTTGGAGAAGGTTCAGTCGTGCTTTTTGGCTTATGATTTTTTTCAAAGGAAAATAATGATAAAAGAATTACCTGAATATTGGCATGCATAATCTGTGCAGTTTCTGGGCTATCACATCGATAGCAGTGCACATGCATTGGTGAGTTCATTTCTGGATTTAGTACCAACATTACGACACCGACCACATCGTCGAATGGCGCCTTGCCCGTCATGCTAAAATGCATTTTTCTAACTTCAATATTTCAACAAATTGTACTTCACTCATAAGCTCGCATAAAACTCTCGTGGAATTTGGTACAAAACGCGGGCGACCAGCAGCTCTTGGCACGATTGAGTGTCGCAATGTGGACGTTTCTTCAACTTTTGCACGTATCTTATCTTACGCGGTTTCGCCGTTGACGCCTTTTAGTCGCGAGAGACAACGCGAATGTGAGAAACGCAGACGGCTAAAACGCCGCGCTCTAATGGAGATACTTGCATCACGTGCGTTGGCAATGCAAAATTAGTATTCTTACCTATATGTGATACAGCTAGCTGCGATTTGAAACTTTGCCAACTGTGTTTTTATTTTCCCACTTCGGGACATTGCCGGAACTGATTGAATCAGTTTGAGACCTTTCGCTGAGATCTGGAAAAATTCATTCTTAGAATAAATAAAAAACACATTGTGATTTTCAGTGAAATTTTATTGTTCACCTGTACAGTTGCTTTGCTGGGAGTTTTCTTGAAACTATCCTTTAGTAATTGACGCATGATTGGCAGCACTACCTACAACATTGAGAAAGATTTTAACGTTGTAAATATTTGATTTTGATGAAATCAACCCACCGCTGATCCTCGAACACCGTCTGCTTCTTTTGAGCCGAGATACCACACATAAAAGTGTGATTTAGAGATTTTTGTTTGAAACAACCAAGACATCTCATTGCATAGCTAAGATTATTCTAAAAAGATATTATTGTGAGAGCTATCGCTTACCCGTTAACTCTAAAGTCAAGAACGCAAAGAACGCAGATATTTTGCCAAAAACTACTTACAAAAATTGAAACAACGAAAAGCGAATATTCTCGTAAAAGGAAATTGTAAGATGCTTTAACTGGCAGAATGTTTCGAGGCCATTGTTGACATTCTGCGAAAAAGATGAGAAATGAAGACACATATGGTTGATGGGAAGAGAAAAACTCAATCGTGCGCTCCTTAGCCCAATTCTCATAGCACTGGGGCAGGAAGATCCACATCCCTAGCATAGTTAGAATGGAATGAAGAAGAAGTAAGAGAAATTGATTGTAGTCACTATACTCATACTTAATTCGAAAAAAAAACTTTATCTCATGTGAAGAGGAGACAGATTTTTAGGCGTTGAAGGTACAATACGCTCTCAGAACGTGCAAAATTTCTTTGAATGTCGCGTTCCGCGGAATTTTCGGAAAATCGCCTAACTTCCTTCGGAATGCATGAATTCTGGATTTCAAAGAAAGGTTATACTCAGCTCATTGACATAATATTTTCACACTGCAATCCAAAAGATTTGCAAAATTTGACGGCTATAATATAAAACCACTTGTCCCAAAGTTACATGGACAAATGATTTTACATGTATTAGGTGGATCCGAAAGTTTTGTCAGTTTTCTTTCAATCCATCGGCAAAAACGCTAGAATGAAGATAAACAAACGCCTCAAAATGAATCCAATGCAGAATTTCTTCCTCTTTTCAGCTGCTAAACTACCATTGTGTTTCGTTGCGAGACTGACGAGATACTTGCTGGAAATTACAACCACTCGTTTTTACCATGTCCAACTTTCGCTAATTTTCAAAATTTTTGTATGAGACTGTCGGAAGAGCCCAAATAACCAGTAGATAGCGCAAAATTTTTGCTATATAATTTTCTGAAAGTCTTGTATTCTGGAAAAATCGCATAACCTGTTATTTGCACCGGACACTGCAAAACCTACAGAATACTGAGGTCCAACACTCAATTATTACTATCGCTACCATCACAAAGTACATGAGCGATTTTCGCTTCAAATTAAGAAGATTTTGAAACGTAGGTTACGTCAGTGCGCACTCCTGAAATTGAGAAATACTGCGTTTTTCCCCACAAATTTCGCCTGTTTCGGCAAGAAAAGGCAAGTGTTAGAAAGAGGAGAAAAGTTTGCACCGAATGGTGACTGAAGTGTTTAACATTTTATGTTCTAAGAGGTTAAAATAGGCTAAATGTAAAATTTGGTCTCAAAAAATAAATCTTAGAAATTTTGGAAGACAACCCGTAGGGCTACAAAAATTGCTTCTGTTGGCAAAAGGTTTGCCCTATCTGCTGGTTATTACGGCTCCTCCGAAAGTCTCATATAAAATTTATCTAAAATTAGTGAAAGTTGGCCATGGTAGAAACGAGTGGTTGTAATTTCCAGCAAATATCTCGTCACTTTTGCAACGATACACAATGGGAGTTTAGGAGCTGGAAAGAGAAAGAAATTCTGCATTGGATACATTTTGAAGAGTTTGTTTATCTTTATTCTAGCTTGTTTGCCGATGGAATGAAAAAACTGACAAAACTTTCGGACCCACCTAATATTAGGTCGGAAAGAAAAGAATGTCAAATTTTTCGGTTTTTTTTTAGCTAAAAGTGATATTTTTCAGAAACTAGAGCATATTGAAGGCCCAGACTTCATGATTAAAGTCTCGAAAATTTGCAGTACACGACTATATGGGCGGAGCCAAGAACCACTAGGGGCATTTTTTTTAATTTGAAAATTTTAGAAAAACGAAAAATGGCGTAGTTTGCCATTTTTCGTTTTTCTAAAATTTTTCCTGAAAGAAAATGGCAAATGCACAAATGGATAGCCTTTGTCTGCTACATGTAGAAGCAAAGAAGAGGTCTGTGGAATTTGCTGAAGTGAAAATCCGGAATTTGGCACCATAAGTTGCTTTTATATTTTGGCTTAACTTTAGGTAAAACACAGAATAAACCAAAGTTCAGATCTCCTCTTGTAGACCTTGTTTTGCTCTATCGAACGTTACTCTTCACATATTTCCGATTCGCCCCGTTGCTGTGCAAAAAAAACGACATTGATTTTTTTCCAGTTTAATAGTAATGAGAAATTCAGAGACATATGTGGATATCATACACCACAGTTTATGGTCTTCTCTTTGAAATGATAGTAGCCTTTGATTCAACTGGCTTGGCCGCTGGACGGCGGGGGTCTGTAACCTAATTAAGGCCACTCGCGCCAGCGACGCAGTCTGCGTCTTTTTCGCGCGCGTGCTCTCTGATCCTTAGCTAGCCTCAATTAGGTTACGAAGCCCCGCCTCCCAGTCGCCAAGCCAGTTGAATCAAAGGGTATATAACTCTTATGTATAATAACTTTTTAAAGCACTTTAAGGAGTACTTTTGAAAACAAGTTGATCGCTTTCTCAATCATTTCGAAACTTTGTTGCGCAATTTCGCAACTTATCTTGCAGTTTTGTTCCAAGTTTTCACCGAAGACAAATTCAACTTTTAATTTATGAGACTCAGAGCATGTTTCGTTTCAAGGTTTGGCCATACAAAATAATCCAGCACGTTTCAGTGAGGAAAGTTTGTCTCTTCCCTTCTTGTTATAGTCAGATCATACCTCCTCTCAAACCGGCCATCAATTTTAAAGTTCGTCAACGTAATTTTGAGACGCTTGATAGCTTTATCAAAATCTATTATAGACTACCCTTCATTGACTCAGAAGTTAGAAAACATAGAATAACCTCAAATAATGTACCGTGAAATAATTATGAAGGAAACTGCAATCAAAGTCAATGTATTTACGATGGAAGCCTGAGTAACATTGTATTCTTTTCAAATCAAAATATTTTTGAAGTTGAATATTATTTTTTTCAATCAACTGTAAAAAAGAACAAGCTTTATTTTTGAGATGAATAGAGAAAGAGGGAGGAGATGGAAAAAATGGAAATAGGCGGTCATCTTCATCTATCTTCATCGAACATATTGTAAACTAAATAGAAGGAAAACTTCTAAAAGCGGAAATTAGATACCACCTGGATTTCTTTTTCTTTTTCTTTCTACTTTACATCTATATCCAAATGTCTTCTTACTTATACAATTTCCTGGAACCTTATCTAAAAAAATCATGTACATACTTTTTACTCCTAACCAAACTTACTTCTCATAAGTTTTGCAGACTTTCTTTCCTTACTGAGGAGTTCCGGGAAACGTCTGTAAATACTTTCACTCCATCTAAGGGCAGGAACGAAACGGAGCCTTTTGGTTATTTACACATTGTGATTTGCAAACCTTTTCTTCTTATTATTGATTGGAAATATCCCTAGTATTGCTGTCTGCGAAAAAACGCTTCCATGGAGAAAACCAAAAAACTTCAAATGTTGTTGCAGAAATATCGAAAACGTCGTGAATTAGATAAAAGATGGAAAACTAGACGAGTACAAGACGAGTGCATATCCCACATTTCAGTTTTCATCAGCCAAGTCAACTTACTGAGAAAACCTGACAGAAATCAGCGACAACCGAATTACTTTATACTTTAGATAAATCATACAGCAATCATACACTTCTAGTTACCCAATTTTTGCATGGATCCACAGTGTACCCTTTGATTCAACTGGCTCGGCTGCTGGAAGGGCGTGACCTAATCAAGGCTAGATAATGATCAGAGAGCATGCGCGCGGGAGAGACGCAGACTGTGTCGCGGGCGCGAGTGCCTTAATTAGGTCACGAAGCCCCGCCTTCCAGCAGCCAAGCCAGTTGAATCAAAGGGTATAACGAAACCGCTTCAGCTTAACTGTGTCCTTAGAACGAGAATTAATCAAAAAAAATCGAGTGAGAAGTAAGTTAATTATCACTAACATCTATTCAGCAACCTATTAACTTGGAAGAGAATCCAATGTTACACTTTTGTAGAAACCAAATTGTTGGGACCATCATTTCGAAAAAAAGTCTATCTGGTGTTTTCGTCCCCTCCCCATTTTTTTTCACCGTCCCGGAGATAATTTTTTAGACTTTGTCAACGAGGTAAGTTGCAGGAATTGCTGGAATATTATGTGAGAAAACTAAAGGAGATCTGTAACTACTTTCAAGGTTCTCAAAGTTTTGATTTTAACGAATAAAAAATTAGCTATTTGAACATATCCAACCCGTGATTTACCGCTTCCTTATCGAAATAATAATAAGAAGAAATGTTTTTACTTTCTAAAGTGTATATAACTGAATGGCTCCGTTTCGTTCCTCTCTTAAACGGAGTGGAAGTATTTACAAACCTTCTCGGAACTCCACAGTAAGAGAGGAAGGTCTGTCAAACTCATCTTTAAATACAAAGACGTAAGTTGTTTAGGAGTAGAAAGTATGTATATAACTTGAATATAGGGGTGTGTCATACATAATTCTAGAATTTTATATAACGACTAGCTGGCTTACCCGGCTCCGCCGTATCCGGACCAAACTTGGCACACATACACTTCGGGCCCCGGCGGGTGTCACTTTTCGTTATCGATCGATGTCGATTTTACCGATTTTTATCGATTTTTTTGCAGAGTTCACCTACAGGGCTAGGAGTTGGCACAGGGGGGGGGGAAGTGAGCATGGGAATTCCGAATACAATATTAGTTTTCAGAATTATCGATTACTTTTATTGATTTCATCGATTTTTTGTAAATTTTGACATGCGAGGCTGGGATTTTGCACAGGGGGTAATCGAGCATGCTGATTACGAACACAATATTAGTTTTCAGGATCGTCCATTACTTTTATCGATTTTATCGATTTTTTTTGTAAAGTTTGACCTGCGGGGCTGGGAGTTTGCACAGGGGGTAATCGAGCATGCAGATTACGAATACAATATTAGTTTTCAAGATCGTCCATTACTTTTATCGATTTTATCGATTTTTTGGAAATTTGAGCTAGGGGGCTGGAATTTGGCACAGGGGTGTAATCGAGCATGCTG